CCAAAGTGCTCATAGGGGGTCATATGATTGTTGGGTTTTTCTCTGTATGTATTATTGTAGGGTCGACCTTACAGTATAAAGATTTGGTGCTGTATAAATAAAATGGAATTGAATTATTAAAGCCATACTGCTGAACCTGTGAAAACTGTTGTGTGATATCCTCGCGGGGTTTGAAGGGAGCTTCCCTTTGTCTGATTTAGGACACTTACTTAGGAAACAGGAAAAGACAACAAAAATGCTTTTAGTTGGAGTAAAAATGTAGATTAAGGTTCTTGAAACTTCACACATCAGGGACTAAAATCACAGCTGTTTTTTTCCGTCTGCCTGCACGAGTTCTGCAACTTTTTCCATGTAAAGCACTAAATCACTAGAGAACCTATTCAAGCTACAAAGGGGTTTGTTTTATGTGTAACTATAGTTTGAATGTTCACAGGGGACCAGGACAGGCGTTTTACACCCAGCTCTGTTCTACCAACATCACCCTACTTCCATATAATTACTTATTCTTTGCAAAGAAAAACACATGGAGCTTTCCGATGCATGCTTTATGTTGTAAAAGTTCAGATTTGCCTTCCTAACTTCAAAAATGCTTGCATGAGTGGATTCGTGGGCGTGAGCAAGTAATCATAAGATATTTAAAGAAGTGTTGATACTGAGCAAGCACACTCATAGAACCAGAGTTACGCCAGTTGGCTTTTTCAGTGTTTTGTTTAGTTTTAATGCAGAATTATCAGCCTATGTTGTTAATAATAATACATGTAAATTGTATGGATATGCTTGTGTTTATATGGCCAACAAAATGAGTTGAAAACATAATAATCTCAATATTTGCATTTAACGTAATACTGGGTCTAATTCAGAGAATATGCATTTATAACCTTGCTTGGATAACGGACCCCAAAACCTTATGTGTATTTAAAAAAGGGATTTACACGAACAACTAGACTAAATTACTCAGAACTGGTGCCAGCAACATTTCTTAGGCTACTTAAGTCTAAAACAAACAAGAGAAACAACCTGAATTAATGCAAACGACGTTCTTTCAGAGCACTTACGAGTCAGCTTTCATCTTCTCTCTAAATTAGCTCTTATTGCAAATTGTCTCTCTTATTCTGTGTATCCCACCCACACCTGCTATTGACACAAACAGAATCACAGATGCACACACTGTATGCCAGCATTTTGCTCCTGTTGTAACTGGATTACAAGTGGGTGGCAATCCTCTTTCTCCCCCCTCCGCGCTTCCGCATCGCTTTGAGTTGTCTGGGAAAACTGAGGATCCTGGCTCACATCGGAATTTTAGGAAGAGCTCATCTCTCACACATTCACCGCAGCGACAGTGGATCTCTAACTTCAGATTAGGATTCAGGGAAGAGTTGTCAAACTTTTTCATTGTGTATTGTTTAAGACATTTTAGATTTAAGAAGCCAGCTTGTCTTATGACAAACGCATATTTTATGTAACTCCATATTTTATGGATGACTCACTTTTTAAACCCCTTGTAGTCTGATTTTCTTTCATGTGTCCGGCCCTGGATCACTTCTAGTAGGACAATCGGACAATTGCAGCCGACTCCTAACATCCCAACCTGTGTGTGCTCTTACAGCTAAGGACGATTCCTCACCGAAACATTCCCAAAGCCATAGCAGGTCAGAGAAGCCCCTGAGGGTGCAGCGGAAAGAGTCACACTGTGGACCTATTGATGCTTTACTTTCTGCAACTCTAGTGAAATCTGAACAGATCACCTTGCTGTCCTAGAAGTTATTTCACAATAAACGCAGGGTGTTGTGCACCTATAGGTCATTTTTGCTTTAAACTGTGTGTTTTCCCGTATGTTGAAGTGTGTGTGTGCGCGCTGAGCTAAATGAGGTCACGTGCAGCGTCGTGTGTGTGGTCTGTCTCATTTGTTGACTGATTTGTTTGGACCTTTTCTGGTTTTGGAGATAAACACGTTGAAGCAGATATGAATATTCCTAATGGCTTTTTAATGTCTTTCTAATTTGCCCTTTAAAGGGCTCTAATGGACTGTCCCCGTGTTTGCACAGAGAGGAAAAAACAATGGCTCTGACTCATTTGGTGGTTACCTTTGAGCCTGCACTAAAGCAGACAATATCATTACAGCCCTTTAGAGCTCCTCCTGTAGGACGAAACATACTTTACACCAAGTGTTTGTGTAGCAGCGCATATTTAAAAGGGTTCCTGCTCTGGAATAAATGTGTTTCTGCGTGTTGAATGAAAATATCCGTTAGTTTACCGAGTGAGGAATTTTTGTTTTATTCCAATCGGGTATGAAAGATCACAGAGAATTGATCCTGATGACTCTGAGCATGTTACTGTAGATATTTTGGTGATTTTCACGAGCTCAGTTGCTTCTCAGTAAAACTTTAACTTCTTCTCTACCAAATACACACTTTTTTTTTGCCATTTCTATCCAATAATAGAAATAATAGAAATAATGTGACATCAGTGACATTATTTCTATCCAATAATAGAAATAATAGAAATAATGTGACATCAG